TGTCAGGTACTACATACGTCAAATTGTCCATCAGCTTTCGAAACACGTTTAGGGTGGATAATAGTGGGTCAATCTTCTGCGGACTCGCGTACACCACCGGTTTCCTTATTGTTGACACCGGAGCCTTCGATAGACCATTTAATCCAGCAGTTCTGGGCCGTCGAAGAACCAGTACCAACGAATAGTACGTTCACTACCGACCAACAGTGTGAAGACCATTTTATTCGTACAACAACTCGCGATAGTACGGGTAGGTACTCATTAGCACTACCATTCAGTATCGACCCATCGTGTCTTGGCGATTCTCGGGACATGGCGATATCGCGGTTCTATAATTTGGAACGTAAATTGTTGAAAGACCCGCAGGTATATGAGCACTATCGCCAGTTCATGCTCGAGTATGAAACCCTTGGTCACATGAAGATGTCTTCAAAACCGGGAAAATATTATGTTCCCCATCATGCCGTGGTGAAACGAGATGGACCAAAAATGAAACTTCGAGTGGTCTTCGACGCTTCGGCCAAGTCGTCTTCGGGAAAGTCATTGAACGATTTGCTCCATGTTGGACCTAAGTTACAGACAGATATCACCGAGTTGTTACACCGTTCTCGTTTTAACCAATATATATTCACCGCGGATATTTGCAAAATGTACCGCCAAATCAGAATTCATACAGAAGATTGTCAATACCAGCATATATTCTGGCGTGCAACACTACAAGAACCCCTACGTGACTATGAGCTTACGACGATTACGTATGGACTCACGTCGTCTCCGTTCCAAGCGATTCGAGTGTTGCACGAATTAGAGCAAAACGATGGACATCTTTATCCGACAACCGGTAATGTTTTGTCAACACAAACCTACGTTGACGATATTCTGACTGGCCGCAATAGCGTCAGAGATTTACTTGAACTACAGGACGAAATCACCGAGATGCTCGGCCGAGGTGGTTTTGAGTTAAAAAAATGGTCGTCAAACTGTAAAGAATTACTCTCTAAAGTTCCAAATGAAGATCAAGCTAATAGTTTGTCTTTTGATCCTAAAGACGATGCGGGAGTAAGAATACTTGGATTACATTGGAATCCAGCTGCCGACACCTTTACTTATCACACGTCCTCCATATTATCTAATATTCATACCAAAAGATCAGTGTTGTCAACGATCGCCAAACTATATGATCCTCTTGGTGCTCTTGCTCCCATCATATTTTGGGCCAAATGCTTCATACAATTACTCTGGCAAGCAGGTCTTCAATGGGACGAGCCATTACCGTCACACTTCACTGACCTGTGGAAACAGTACGAGTCTGAATTGCACATGGTCTCGGGTATAAAAATTTGTCGCCATATCCCCACCGAGAAGCTCACTAGCGTGCAACTTATTGGTTTTTCAGATGCATCGGAGAAAGGTTATGCCGCCGTGGTTTATTTGCGCACTATTCACCAGGATGGGCGTGTACTAATACATTTTATTACTGCCAAATCAAAGGTTTCACCCTCCAAGACTAGCAACACCAAGACCACGTTGACTATACCACGCTTGGAACTGTGCGGTGCACTATTATTAGCACAAGTGCTACATCGGTTAACCAACACATTTAAAGGTAATATAGTCATCTCAGAAACATTAGCCTGGACAGATTCATCCATAGTGTTATCCTGGCTCACGTCACCTCAGTCGAGTTTTAAAATATTCGTAACCAACAGACTTGCAAAAATCGCCGAAATTCTACCGACTTGTCAGTGGCGACATGTTGTGTCGGAGTCAAACCCAGCGGATTGTGTATCAAGAGGTTTATTCCCATCACAGGTTCATGACCAACATTTATATTGGCAGGGGCCTCCATTTTTAAAATTACCGGACTCTGAATGGCCAATCACATCGTTCAAACCAATTCAACCATCGCACCTGCCAGATTATTCGGATCCAACAAACGCGTGCTTAATGGTGGTACCGGAAAAGGAAGTTGAATGGTTCACACGTTTTTCGTCATTGAAACGTATGCAACGCGTCACCGCAATCATGTATCGGTTTATAAGGCATACGCGCACGAAACGTGTTCCATACGTCGCACCCAAAAATATATACGACCCTATCTCCGATGAAGAAATTTCGAATGTGATGTTACCGATCATTCGTATGACACAATCAGTACACTTCGTAAGTTTGTTGAGGATTCTACAAATACCTACTACAAAGATAGTTCCTCGTTCAATTGCCCAACTTGCGCCGTTTATTGATAAAAACAACATTATACGGGTGGGTGGACGACTCCGAAATGCATTGGTATCACCAGAAACAAAAAACCCAATATTGTTACCAAAATCAAGTACGTTGACTACACTCATTATTCGTAATTTCCACTTGAATCATTTCCACGCTGGACCTCAATTAATGTCATCGTTACTATCAAGTTATTATTGGATAATATCCAGTCGATCTGCCATACGTTACGTTATCTTCAAATGCGTTGTGTGTGCTCGCCATAGGGCGTCGATTACTCATCCTAGGATGGCCGACCTCCCATCCAGTCGAGTAACATTATGCCGGCCATTTTTGCACGTTGGTATCGACTTTGCTGGACCACTTATCCTAGCTGAGAGCCGTCGTAAGAACTCACGATCAATAAAGTGTTACCTTTCTATCTTCGTGTGTATGACTATCAAAGCTGTACACATTGAAGTGGTTTCTGACCTCTCAACTAATACGTTTTTGGCGGCTTTACAACGCTTTGTCGCTCGACGTGGTACCCCATCAGACATTTACACTGACTGTGGAACGAACTTTAAAGGAGCAGACCAAGAAGTACGTAACATAATGTTAGACTCCACTGCCAAGACAACATATACGAATGCGATTTCATGTAGGTGGCATTTTAACCCTCCTGCAGCCCCACATTTTGGTGGCCTGTGGGAGGCGGCCGTAAAATCCACAAAATATCATTTAAAACGAGTTATGGGTACTCAACGGTTAACGTTTGAAGAAATGGTCACATTAACAAGTCGTATTGAAGCCCTACTCAATTCTCGACCGATAACTCCATTGTCTGCTGATCCTAATGATTATCGTGCACTAACTCCAGGTCACTTTCTTATTTGTCATCCAATGGTTGAAATACCAGAAAAGGACGTAATTGACATACCTCAAAACCGCCTCAATCGTTGGGAACTCCTACGACAAATGTATCAGTCACTCTGGAAAAGATGGTCAACAGAGTACTTGTCATCGTTGCAACGACGCACAAAATGGGTAGACAATCAACCAAATGTTAAGGTTGACGATTTGGTATTGATAAACATGCCGAATCAACCACCCATACATTGGAAACTTGGTCGTATACAACAAGTTCACCCGGGTGCAGATGGCGTGGTCCGTGTAGCCACAGTGCGTACCGAACATGGAACCCTCACACGACCAATAGTCAAACTAGCCATCCTTCCTCTTGATAAGTGATTACTTCTGTTCCTATTATTTTCCTGTTTACGTGGGTGAATTATTTTTATTATTAATTTGTATTTTATATTATTTTCGTGTATTTGCATTATATAATTATTACGGCAATATAACCGGTAAAAAAAATGCGTATTGGATGGACCGTGAAAAGGGGAGATGTTCAACAAAAATGGAGGAAGACTAAAATAATTGAAAGCAACCTACCCTTTCAATGGGGGGAGTATGTTGCGTAGAGTCATATGCACGACGGCGTTATATAACGTAACGCACGTAGGTATATCGCAGCCGTGACTCTACGCAGCGGCCAACCAGTCGTCGCACGGACAGCCACATTGTCACACATCGTCGCGACGTCCTCAAAGGAAATAAATCCGTCGTATATTACCTATATTGTTACATACAGATATTAATATTAAACGACTAAGTGATACTATTATATCCTTGTGGTGCCCGCGTCATCATGCGCCTTGTCACCTGTGATGCAGTGACTATTTACTGGTAATCCACGTCCTATGTGCACACCAATCTAAAAACGATCTATATACATCAACATTGTCCATCACCATCACCTCACACATCTCAACTCATCCACCATTTTGGAGCTTTGCCAGGCCATCGCGCATACGGTTGTCGTGAGTCGGCTATACGCCATATTATTGTAATTGTACTTATATCCATTATTGTACTTGCTATAACTTATGTATTCTTGTATTTTACTACTTGCTATTATTTTTCTTATTATTATTATTATTATTGCCATATTACTAACACCATTTTATATTATGTAATGTGATTATTCGTATCAGCCTCAAAATTATTATTTATCTTTTTTACACTAAACACCAGCGTTGTTATTCTTTCAACCACCTCTCGTCAAACACAGTAAAACTCTATAAGGTTCACCATCACCGGTAAATTTATATTCATCGCGTGGCCAACAATCTCGTTACCTACTAACGAGACTTGGTACGCATCAAACGTAAATAATTTTCTAATATTAACATCACATTTTAGACAAAATGTTTATTTTATTGTTAATGTTATTTTTTTATCATATTTTCTTTGTTTATTTAAATTTTTATAAAGTAAAAGTTGTTTTATTTGTATTTTAAATTTTTTAAATATTTTGATTAACTATCATTAGTCATTACCTAGTTACTTTTTTCTAATTTTTATACAGTAAAAATTGTTTTATTTCGTATTATTTAAATTTTGTTAAACTAGCATTGTCTAGTTACAATGTTTCATTTTTATAAGGTAATTTTTTTTTATTTCGTATTTTTATATTTTGCTTAACTAAGCATATCTAGTTTTTTTTAAATAATTTTTATAAAGTAAAAAAAAATGTTATATTTCATATTATTTAAATTTTGTTAAACTAGCATTGTCTAGTTATTATACAATGGTAAATTTATATAAAGTAAATTTTTTTTATTTCGTATTTATATATTTTGTTTAACTAGCATACCTAGTTACTTTTTATAACTATTATAAAATAAAAGTTGAACGGGCCGGGAGCATAATAAATATTACGCGTGCCCGAACGCCAATGCTTTAGAGCACCACTAACACCTAGGACAGGTCTTAAATATGCGAGGACTAGCTGGGTGTGTAGTGGTGTAATAGCTCGAACAGCAGTGGTCGGGATTGCCGGGCAAATACTGTCGAGCTACGTAATGCGTGTAGTGTATTTATGTGTATTATTTGTGTGTTATGTGTGTATATATGTG